CCCCCGGCTAGCGCCCACGGGTGGGATAGGCTCCAGCCGTCTTCAACCCCCCGCGACCCTTGTGAGGATAAAGAGGTTCAGAAAATGGATGGATGTTTCTCCAATACTATGAACAGTGCCAACAATCTTTTCTGTCGGCTTTTCTGACTGTTCAGAATGTGAAAATGTGACTCCAAGCGTTACCCGCGCAGTTTTCATGATGTCCAACAGCCGCAGTTTGATTATTCATTGATACCTGGTCACAGACTATTTCTACTTCCATTCTTTCCACTTTTGAAAGTTTGGACAACTCGCAGCCAGCAATGTAAAAAATGTGGCCACAAAACACTCGATTGTTGCCACAAAATTGTGACGACATGCGCACGACCTACAAAATGGAGCATCTGCCAGAAACTGCAATATGCGATTTTTTTTTTTTTTTTCTACCCTACCGTTCCTTGAGAACGTACACTTCATTTGCTGAGCCAGCTGTCCAGGAACGACATTTTTAAAAATGTTTTGTTTTGCTCCTCATGAACATTTTTTTTTTGTTACACAGTAATTTGAAGCAGTTTGCATTCCACATCAAACCGAACCAATCTTTGGTGGAAATGGGTTAGGAATGTGCGCGGGTGTGTGCGTGCGTGCATGCGTAATGTGGCCATGGAGTGAGCATTCATGTCAGCCACAGAAACCAAGCGAAAGGTCTTGAGGGTATTTCAGCGCCAGTCGCGGAAATCCGAGCCCCTGCGGCCCTCATGGCGAATTACTGCGCTGTGACGCGTTGAATGGCAGCAGCAGCTACCATTTAAATTCGTGGCGTGTGTGCGTGTGTGTGTCTGTCTATGTGCGTGCGTGCGTGTAAGGGGGCGAAGTAGGCCAGCGCAGCATTGACTTGATTCTGTCGCGCTCCCGTATTGCACAAAATGACAAACTGTACAGTAGCACATTATTGTGCTATATTTCCTTTAGTCGTTTATTTTATTTTTTTAAAGCGCTCGTCCTCATTTGGATTGAGGGTGAGCTGGAATATTTCCCAGATGACTTTTGGCTCCCACCAGTCGGGAAGCGGTTTAATAATGTCGTCCATTCCTGAGTTTAGACGGTACCCTCGGTAGGTCGCCCTGTTTCAGGGGTCCAATAGTTGTACCATTGCACCGTCTAACTTTCTGGGTTGAGAATTTGTGCTGACGCATGTGTTGCGTGCGGATTAGCTGCGCTGTTGTTCATCAGCAAAGACAACAAAGGGATTATTTCTATCATCCAGATGCATGTAGATTTGAGGCTTTAATCTTGCACGAAAAGCTTCGGTAGTCAGAGTGGATGGCTGCTGACCAATCTTTTTTTTTTTAAACACAGCTCTGGCGTGAGAGCTCGTTAAATTTTTCAGGGGTACCCCTCACTTCACTAAATTTCCTTTGGCCAGGCTGTTCCGCACTTATACCACCAGAGGTCAGGACAACGGTTGTAGAAAATAATCAGGTGGTAGCCGACTCCTGTTCGCCCGTGACCTTTATGAAAAGCGCGCTATAATATTGTACTTTGTCAAAGCGTACGGTAAATGTCATAACTAGAGGATTAAAAACAAAGTGACAGTTTTTCACCGTGTACCTAGTGCACGCTGCTACCTTCGGGTGCGTCTGCCTTGGCCACCTGAGGGCAGGATATACTTTTCATTTAGGCGTTATGAATCCTGCCGCTGCAATATAATTGGCTAATGCGTGCGGTCCTGCCTTGATGCAGCAGCCAATCCTACTAATGCCTCAACTCCTCTCTCAGCTCATCAGTACGGCACCGATATAAGTCACTGTTCCCAGAAGATAACGGATATGAATACGATATATTGTCAGTGTACATGTTGTTGCACCATTTGCGTTGGATTGGTTTCTTCAAGGGTTAAAGCACCACAACATTGATGCTAATTACCGTTAGCATGAAGCTAGCAGCCAGAAAGGTGATTATTGTTTTTAATACACAAGGTGCAATTCTTTCTTTCATGTTTATTGTGAATCCAAAGTGGCAGTGACATGATGACGTGTCACGGGAAAAGCCAAAGATAAAACAAAACGGTTCATCTTTTCATGTTTGATGAACTGCGGAGTCACGTCTAGATTCGCCGTCTTTGTTTTTGTGCGACATCCTCAAAGTATTTTGTCTTTTACGGACAAATGTTGCTTTCCGAGTTTATCTTTAGCATTTTTTTTCCCCGCCATCCCACGCTCTCTCTTTGTTCCCTGCATCCTACACACAAAACACAAGTCGACAAAAGTGCACGCTGAGAAGTCCGGCTCTGTCTTTTTCGGCCGACTAAATAATGCATGAGCGTGTGCTGTAAATGTTTCAAAAGCCCCGAGTTAAATCAACCCCGAGCAGATGTGAGCGGGATGAGCGGAAAGATGCCAGACAAGAAAGGAAGAGACGAGAAGAGGAAGGTGTCGCCAATAGGAAACATCTGGAAGTCTTATATAAGTGTGTGTGCGAAGAAGGAGGAGTTGGGGGGGCGGGTGACACAGAGTAGGTCAAATTTTTATAATTTGCGCACATGCAAGGGCTGCCAATCGACGCCGGCACACACGTGCGCTGCGTTAGGAAGACAGATTGCGACTAATTGAATAAGTCATCAAACATCAAGGGGGGGGGGGGATAGCATGAAGCGTGTTAAAGATGTGTTGCTATGTGTGGTCATATTGAGAGAGAAAATGTGAGGTGGGGTGATCCTTTTGCCCCCCTTTAAGGAGCTGAGCGAGAAGAAAAATCACAGACAATAAAATGTGCAAGAAGAAAAAGTCATGATATTATTATTACTGATACCGTATGAGTCAGATAAACGCTATCAGGCTAACATTACATTGAATGTTTACACGGGAACACACACATAGTCAGCACTTCATATCTGTCCGACCGCTAATCTGGATTAGCGCTTGTACGCGGGAATCGGTCAAGGCTCTCTTCATTTCCATTTATCTTTGGTTCAGTGCGTGTGGAATGTAGATTCCCATTCAGTTTGTTGGGCAAGCCCCCCCCCCTCCCGTTCCACGTGTTTCTGAAACACATTATGTTCCATTTCGTTGCAACTGGTGGTCAATGACGAAGAAGCTATTCTGATTTTTTTTTTCCTGATTCCGATTCATATCTCATATTGCCTGACTTGCCATTTACTGTCCGGTAGGCGGTCACAGGGAAGAGCTTTGGAGACAAGGACTTCCGCAGCGCGTTGGAGAATGGCATCCTGTTATGCGAGTAAGGCTGAGGACATCACACGGTTGGCAACATTACACACATATGCACACACACACACACACACACACACACACACACACACACACACCCTTTCTAACCTTGGCTATCTGTTGCCCTTCCCTTCCCTCATCCAGACTTCTGAGTGCAATCAGACCAGGCCTGGTCAAGAAGATCAACAGACTGCCCACGCCAATCGCCGGCCTGGTAAGGACAAACGTCACAGCTTTCAGTGCAACACTTTGACAAAAAGCCATCAAGTGAGAGACATCATATCATACAACAAGTCACGAGGTTATTATAAGAGCACGTCGTAAAATGATGAAAAAAGGCGTAAAGTGGTGAAAATAAATTTCTGACGTTGCAAGAATCAAGTTGGAAATGTGCTGGAATAAAATTTGATAAAATTTCCTAAAACTACGACCACTGTCAGAATGTTGTTTTTGGAAAAGTCAGAAACTAGCAGAAACATTTTTGCTTAGTTGTAATTTTGCAAGAAAAAAAAGTCAACATCGCAAGAATAATATCACATTTTGTGAAGGGAAAAAAAAAAATCTTAAATGTGCAAAGATAAAGTTTGAATGTAAATTCATCAAGTTACGTGACTAAAATGTCCAAAAATAAATCTTGTCTAGATATTATAAGCAAGACCTGATCAATTTAATCGGGCCATATTAGCCAAATTCAGCTGATTTCTTTTTGCATGTTAAAACATTGCAAGTTAAGACAAAGATAATGACATTCTAACACAACCCAAAAAAAAAAAAAAAAATCTGATTTTTGGGGGGGTTCATTTTTCTCTGTGTTCTTAAATACAAAAGGACAAAGTACTCTAATTGCAACTCATAAAATTGACCGATTTATCTGTTATCAAAATTTTACTCTGCCAAATATTTGCATCGGACTAAAAAAAAAAACAAACAAAAAAAAAAAACAAAATCAGTTTCCATCAGTCCCTAATTATGAGAGCTCAGTATACAATGTATTTTGATTGCCATCTTTTTGTATTTACTCGAGATGATGTCTCGTTTGTTTATATGCGTTAAATTGTTTGAAGTGAAGAAGAAAAAAAATACGTTTGTCCTCCTCTAGGACAACCTGTCAGTCTTCCTACGGGGCTGCGAGGAGCTCGGCCTGAAAGGTTCGCAGCTCTTTGACCCGGGAGACCTTCAGGACACCTCCATCCGAGCCAACCTCAAGTCAGTATGCACGCAGGCATTATATATATATTTATAAATTAATAATATATACAGAATACTAATGTTTAATAATCTTCTCTCCCAACAGGGACTCCGACTGCAGCCGCAAGCTGAAAAACGTGGGTTAAAATTTTTTATTTTTTTTTATTTTATTTTTTTCCCCTGGCCATAACTATTAAATTTCAATTGGAATTCTTGGATTGTGTCCGGAAGGTTCTGAACACGGTGTTTTGGCTGGGCAAAGCGTCCAGCGGCTGTGCCTCCTACAGCGGACCCACGCTTGACCTCAAGGAATTTGAGGGTCTGCTGGCAAACATGAAGGTGGTGAGTATGTGGGGATTGGGGGGGCGGCTTTAGTTAATGGATGGAGAGTAGCCAGAGAAGGCATGCGGGGGTTGTTTTTGTTTTCGTTAGGGGTGCAGTCCAGGAAGAAGACATTCTTTTGTTCAGTTCCTCTCTTGTTTCAGGGAGACAAAATGGAGTCCTTCACTGATCTGATTCAATGGAACGTAGATCGACTCAGCTATGCTTTATGACTCAAATGCTGTTACAAATCAAATTTAATTTGAATACAAATCAAGAATAAAGTCTTTCCAAAGTCTACCGATGCTTTTTTCTCCAGTAGACTTGATCATTGTCATGGTTTCTTGACTGGACTCCCTCAGAAGTGCATCGAACGGCTGCAGCCCATTTCCATCTTACTGTGTTCATCAATCCATTCAATCTCTATTCATCATAGAACATAAACCCAGTCGGTTTCTGAGGTGAGCAGACTCGGGTCAAATTTGGAGCTCAGAGTTCAAAGCAAACAAGGTGCGTCACCATTTAGCTGCTATGCCGCACCCGCATGGAAAAAGCTATCGACGGGACTGAAATTAGCACCAAGTTAAAATACTTTTAAATCCCATATCCCCCCACACCTCTGGCTCCGTTTATACACTTACTTGTATTTTGGCCTTTTCCGTATGTGCAGGACAGCGACGAGGCGGCTGACGGCTCACAGAAGCGCAGCATTAGAGACAGCGGTTATGACTGCTGGGACTCGGAACGCAGCGAGTCACTCTCACCGCCCAGACACACTCGAGACAACTCTCTGGACAGGTCAGACAACCGGTGTTGTTCAACAGTGGACCAACAAATGGAACTGGACATGGCAAAACAGTACACATCCGATTAATGCTTATTCATTTCTCTTCGGCTTGATAATTGCATTCCAACACTTGGGGTCATATTCTGGAGTTTTGACGTTTCATTGTTTTATTGAACGCAGCATATAAAGTACAATGTACTACGGTTGCTAGCTACCTAGTGCACAGAGCACTAGGTAGCAACTATCCGCAATCAAAATTACTTTGTTTGGTTGGTTGGCTAGTTTTTCATGAGTTAACTAACCACAATCCCAGTGAGTTGTGTAGGCAGCCAGGTTGACATTGTTATTTATTTGGCTCGTTTGTTTGTTGTTGAACACTAGCTAGCTGTGTTGCTAACGAGCGGCTCAAAATCATAATTGGCTTTTGTTTTATCGACAGTCTGGACTCATTTGGCTCGCGCTCGCAGCACAGTCCCTCTCCCGATGTGGCCAACCGAGGCAACACGGAAGGTTTGTTCCCACCAGAAATTATTTTAAAAAATATGACATCTCCCTTCTCAGAACACAAAGGCTAAGTTCCATTAATAGACTCAAGCATGTCGAACGGGGGGTTTAATATTCTCATGTGGACAGCTGTGTGTGTGTGTGTGTGTGTGTGTGTGTGTTTGTGTGTATACACACAAACACACACACACACACATACGCACAATATATATACATTTATTTATTTTTATGAACGCGCGGGTGCGTTTGTACAGGAAGGTGAGAAAACCAGGAGGAAACAGCTACCTCATCCATAGCTCTAGGGATAGTTTTTGCCTTGGCAGACTATGTTAATATTTTTATATTTTTCCAAACCCCATCCTGCAACCCCGTCCAGTATATAGAGTGCAGCCTGCAAGTATTTACAACTGCACTCTTACCTAGATCTGTGCCTCGAGACAATCCTATCATGGAGGTCTACGAACAGTTTCTTTAACTTTTATTGACAAATTTCAAAAGGATATAACCTAACAAAATGTGAATACTTTCTGGATGGACTACACGAGGCAAGATTGGAATTTTCTTTTCCTCTGTCTCTGTTGCTGTCAAAGTAAAGCAGAAATAATCATAGTTTGGGTTGGTTTGCTGTTAGGTTGCAAACAGGACAGTAGCTTGTGATCTGACACCATTACTCTAGTTAGCTGGGTAGTTAATGAGCGTCGGGTTTGCCAAAAAGTAGCCTCCTAACTAACCGTTGGACGTTATTGTCCCTCTGTCCTGTAACGCTCCAATGGCCTTAACGCTAGGAAGAGACGGCAATCTGGAGGCGGACAGCGGCAGGAGGCCCGATGTGCAGAAGGACGACATGTCAGCCCGGCGTGCGGCGAGCGGAGAGGCGCGGACCCCCGTTGTCTTCAACCAGTTCCTACCCAACCGAAGCAATGCCGGCTTCTACGTCCTGAACGCCAAGCGCAGACCTCTTGCTGAAGACGGAGAACAGCGCAGGTAATGACACTTTTGGAATATTTTTAAAATAGATCACCCCCTCGCTAATATAGCACCCAAAAGTCCCGACAAGGGCAAAAAGAGCGTGAGCTGGGCGCAAGATCACCAGAGCGAAAAGGAAGTGTGTGAGCGGACCAGGCTACAGAGGTTGGAGAAGGCGGGCATCAAAGTGTTGCCTGCGGCCCTTCGTTACGGAAGGTTAGCGCTTGGGGTGTTGTCTACTGAGTTGTGATCACTCGTGGAACTCACGCTGCCATTTCAAAACGATTAGTTGATTAATCTGTTTCAGTTGATTGCTTGGTGCTGTGATGTTGTTGGCCAACGACTAACTGCTTGACAAATGCTAACTCATTGTTTGTGTAATGACAAATTCACTGCATCAGCCATCCCATTAATTATAGATTGATTGTTCATTTTACACAGATGTAACACAAGCCTTAGTTCGTTAGTTAACCACACTTTCTCAATTTAACTCTCATTTCAAGTACTATATTTATAGCACTAAAAAAAAAAAAACACAGCTTCTTCGTTATCAAGACAATTAGCCACAATAATATATGGTTGATTGGTTAGTTTGGTAGTTACTTGATCAGTTAGCTAGCTGACACAATTCCAATTTGGATAATCAGTTAATTAGTTAACTAATGACAGTGACATTTAGTAAGTTAGTGTACAGCCAGCCAACCACAACTAAATTTTGTCTGGCTTGTCAGTGTGGTGGTTAGTTGAGTAGGTTGCTAATTTAGTATTTATTTAGCTGGCAAACTAATTAATTATATGCAGCTATCTAGCTAGCTAACTAAGCAACAATCTACAATTAGTTTCACTTGCTTGCCTACAATTTACAGCAATCAAAGGTGGTTATTTTGCTGTTAGCTAGCTACCTATATAGCTAGGTAGATGATTAGCTAGCAAACACTTGATTGCTAACTAGACAGCTAACTGCTTTGAATCAATTTCAGTTTGTCTGTTAGTCAGTGAGTTTGTCCTTTGTGTAGGATGTATTTTATTGTCACATGAAAATGGGGAGCAACATTCTTGAAGCCTGGGATATCGATGGAGGTTTTTGTTATGCCCATTTCTGGTTTGTGATGAGGGTTTTTTGGAGGAGGTCTTCATTTTGGTTTTCGAGTCATCTGAATGGACTAATGGACTTGTGGGCCAAGTGAAATTCATGCACGTCACTAACGTTTGGTATCACGGAACGTCACGGTGGACCTCCCGGCATTCCTGAAATGACTGATTGCCATCTCATCTTCAACTCAGTCCTTCCTCCGCCTCTACCTCCCCCACCACGGAGAGACCAGTTTCTCCCAATATCGTCCTTCGCCGAGATAACGACTTTTTGACCTCACAAAAATCGGCTTGGGACTCATCCTCTGATGGCGAAGGCGAGGAGGGAGGCCAGAAGATACCAGACATTCGCAAAGATGACCTGGCCTCCCGACGGGCTCCTCGAGGCCCCACGGTGCCCAGGCTGCATCAGTTTGTCATGTCGCCGTCGCTGCTCGAGTGTAGCAGCAAAGACCAGGAGCGCTGGGAAGGCATCAGGCGATCCTCACATAAAACACTAAAGGACAAGGACATCAGGTTAGATCATGCACTGTCTGTGCGTTTATTTGAGTGCTGATGTGTAATTGTGTGCGTTTGTGTGTGGGGGAGAGCGGGGGAGTTGTTTTACCACCATTTTTGCCCTCACTATTCTATCTCGACGATTGGACAGCGAGCTTGAGCAAATTCCCGACATCATTACTCGCCAAAAAGAAGAAGAGGACGACGAGGTGGCGTGTGAGGAAGAGTCTGAGGATGCAGGAAGGGTTCAAGCAACACCCGACAGGCAGATGGACGACCTAGCTCTCAGACGGGCGCAAACTAAACCGCGCCCCCTCCAGCGGGAAGGACCAATAAGCTTGACGTCGACCACCATGAGCCAGGCCGACGTACAGAAGTGGGAGAGGCTCAGGATGAGTGAACCCAGGTGCACCCCCCAACCACACATACAGGAAATCATCAGTGTTTGTGTGTGCGTGCGTGCTTGTGTCTTCAAGTTGTCCTCCAAAATAAGTGACAACAGGTGCAAGTCTTACTAGTTTGAAGTCCTAAGTTTTACACTTAGGGGGTGTAACTTTACTGTGGCTTTAATACATATACATAGGAGTAAATCCGGGCAATGACTGCTACATTAAGGATACTTGAATATAAATCTTTAGATGTACGCCCCCTAGTGGCTGATTGTTTCCCTTTGAAATGAGTTTTAAATCTCCTTTAGTTCCCTCTCACTTGGCTCCTTTTCACCACTTTATTTATTCTCCTCATTATTGTGCACTTCATTGCCGTCTGACAGCCTCTGAAAGGGCAGGGAATGTGCCGTCCCTTAGTGTGTATGTCACTTTTTGTGTGTCAATGTGTGTGTCTGTGTGCGTGTGTTAGAGAGGAAAAAAAGAGGTGATTGTTGGCTGTCTGCTGAGGCTTTTGTTTTTTGTCCTCCTGGCGCTGATGTCATTAGTTTGCACAGAGGAGGTTTTGTGTGCCTGAACATCACATGGAGAAAATGGCTCACATGCTAACAGTTGCTATGCTAACATGGGGCAAGATTGCTCTTTTGTACTCAAGTTGCTTATGCAGATCAATAAGGATTTTACATCCAGACCTGTAGCCCTGGAGACGGACACTATTAAAAATTAGAATGGCTAAAATGCTAAGATTCTCATCCTTGCTATGCTAACATAAAGCGAGAGCGCTCTGAGCGCAAAAGACACGAAGGCACATTGATAAGGATTCCCAGAACCCGTTCTATGGATTGGTAGTATTGAAATTGTTGAGAATTGCGATAATGCTAACATTTTCCATGCTGACATAAAGCAAGATAGCAACCTGGATAGATAAAAACACTAAGATAGCTCAATCAAGATTTAACATCCTGACTAGCAGCCCTGTTGACGGTATTTATTGCAAAAGAGAATGGCTAAAACGCTAACCTGCTGATGGTTGCTGTGCTATAATATATCAAAATAGCACTGAATGCAAAAAAAACAAAAAAACAAAAAGCTCTATGGCGGATTGATGAGGATTTTACATTCTGCTACAAATGAGTGCCTAAAATGCTAACAGCTGCTATGCTAACACGCAGTATAGCAAGACAGCATCATGAGTATAAAAAGTACTAAAGCGGCTTGATTAGGATTTTAAATTCTTCCATGTTGTCAATTTGGTACTCTTAAAAATCAGAATGGCTAAGATGCTAACAGTTGCTATGCTAACACATAGCAAAATAGCAACCTCCTCTACGTCTCGTCTGACTCATTTAGGGTTGCTCATTTCTCCTCCGTTGTGTGTACGTGTGTGTGTCTGTAGCGAGCCTGGCCCCGTCCCCGTTTGTCAGGCTTGTCGGGTGAAAACAGACGCCAGTGGCGGACGGGGTCGCGGCAAGTCGGTGAGGTTCGGGGGCGTGACCGAGATGGGGAGTCCAATAGACGCGCCCGAGTCGGGGTTGCTAGGACGACTCCTCTCCCGGGCGACGGTCGCCATGCCGACCATTGGACTGGGCTCCCTGCTCTCAGAGCGGGAAGGCAGGTACATACATGGCCGCTTGCACTGGTTTTGACTGTGGCCGATGATAGTCTCATTAGAGTGCTTGGTATCAAAGATATATTTAGCTTATCGGGGATGCAACAATTTTCATTTCTCCAGCTTGGTTTCTGCTTTAATCTGAGAAACGCATGACATGTCCCTCATTTTTACAGCTGATATGATGAGAACATCGTATCATAGTTACGGTCAGCAAATATAATATTAAATAATAACAATAATGCAGTAGCTTCAAATAAATAAAAATCAATGAATAAAAACATGGACCAAGATAGCAATCTGAGTACAAAAAGTGCTAAGGCAGAGAAATGATTTGACATTGTGACTGACACTGGGTAGGGTTTGATAATGGCTAAAATGCTAATATGTTAACACTTGCTGTGCTAACAAATAGCAATATCGCAAACTGAGAAACATTAAGGTAGGTAAATGCAGATTTTACATTGTACTATTTCAAAATAATAAAAAATTACTAAACTGCAAACATGCTAACAGTTGATATGCTAACATAATCACAAGAGAGCGACCCCGAGTACCAAAAGCAATCAGATAGATTGCTTAGGATTTTACATTTTACTGTGTCTGTTATCATTTTCATACGCAGTTTTAGCTATATGGCAGTAGCATGAACCAGTTTTAGAGCTTTATGTGACGCCCATCACAGTCTCACAGATGGAGGACAACCCAGTCAAGATTCCTCCAATTTGTCACCTGGCTCTCCAAAGACTCCTTGCTCTCCAGTCGAGCTGGACGCTCGTCATGCTCAGTATGAAAGCAGTTTGAAGGAGGAGAAAGAGGAGGAGGAGGGGGAAGAAGAGGAGAGGATACCCGATATTCAGAAAGATGACATGATGGCAAGGCGAACGGGAGTTTTCCATCAGCAAAGCGCAACTTCGGCATCTTACAACCGCTTCCTGCCTTTGCCTGCCTCAAAATACAAGGGCCAGGTTGCTGGTCCAGCCACTAAGGAAGTGAACAGGAGCAAGAATATCAGGTGGGAATTTTCAGACCTGTCCGCTAACCAGCTAGTTCGTGTGAAATTCAAATATCTCGCTGGATTTTTTTTTGTCACAGAGCGGAAGAAGGGAAAGTTCCCGTTGAATGTGACCCATGTTCTCAAATTGAGAGAGAACATGTTGATGATGATGATAATGCAAAGGGGCCTCTTTCCAACCCGGAAAAGGATGACATGATGGCTTGCAGGGCGGGATGGCTCCAAAAAGCCAATCCAACCTTCAGGCAGTTTCTACCAGTGCCGGGTGCGCTTAAAAACAACACCATCCAAAGTTGTGGGAGCAAGCAGGCACCCAAGTGTGTGGGAAAGGTGACGGCCGTTGAACGTGACCCATGCTCTCAAATTGAGAGAGAACATGTTGATGATGATGATGATAATGCAAAGGGGCCTCTTTCCAACCCGGAAAAGGATGACATGATGGCTCGCAGGGCGGGATGGCTCCAAAAAGCCAATCCGACCTTCAGGCAGTTTCTACCAGTGCCGGGTGCGCTTAAAAACAACACCATCCAAAGTTGTGGGAGCAAGCAGGCACCCAAGTGTGTGGGAAAGGTGACGGGCGAAAGGTACCTTTCCCCGGTTTGCTGTTGGAGCTTGTGTCAAAGTGACTAACAAAGTATCGAGGAGATGACTTGGACTCGCATGCAATCAAGCTGTCTTATAAAGTCCGGCTTTACAAAGAAAATTATTAGATGGCTTTGGTGTACCAAATGTGGTATCCACCGAGTGTGACGTTGCCGTGGTTTGGCACTAGCATGTTTGTCTGAGGCGTGATGCGCGTGCATCGACCTCGTCGGGTGGGAGACACTCGCTCGGATTTGATCCATTTGTCTTGCTCGCTGGTTAGTGGTGGCGTCCAACCTCTGGAAATCCCGCCCAGGAAGGAGGAAGTGGGCATGCAAAAAGAGAAGACGGCAGATGTGACAAATGATGTCCCCCCATCTAGTGGGCAGGCGGAGTTAGGAAAGGCCAGTAAGACGGATGATCCGCCGAGAAAGAAAGCCTCCCGGGTGGGGGACGATGATCTGCCGCCAATGATGTGAGACGCCCTCCTAATTTTTCTTGCATGCGTCTTTCTTTCGTTCCATCCTAGTATTGATCGGGAACGTGTTTGAAATGGAATTTCCCGTGCCCGAGAGGTTTCGGCCTGCTCTGACCCAAACGTTCCCATCTTGCTCACTTCATTTTGTCCTTTCAGGATGAGTCACCGAGTTGCTTTTGTGTCCGGGGACTCCGAGTAAGTTTGACGACGCGGATATAGACGACCGCATGCTAACAAAAACAAACTCTTTCATACGGTTGAACCTCTGATGTCACTTTTGAAAACAGTTTTTGAATCAGGGTAATACTGTCATAGTAATCCAAACTGTCACCATCATCGAAGGTTGATTAACCGGACACTGATCACGTGACGTTCGCAATGCGAGCCCGAGGGCAGTCGCGATCATTTCAGTCGACAGCAGAGGGTGTTATTGGTCAAAATGGCGTCCCCCCTGAGATGGATGAAAAATGAAGAATTTATGTTTAAGTTTCCCTTTAAAAAAAACAAAAAACTCAGAGGTTCCACTGTATTATGGTTAGAAAACCTACCATGCTTCAAACTGTTTTTTTTTTCTCCACTTTGCTAACCAGCAACTTTTTTTGCCGTCATCTTTTTCTTTTCGTATTCAAGTTTAGCAGTTTTGTCATTTCCTTTGATCCACGATTCATTTATTGCTTGCCTTGTCTGAACACGTGTGTTGTGGTGTCAGTCTCCCGCATTTTTTTTTTTAACAAATGTGTACTTTGCCTTTCAGGAGCGTGAGCATGAGTGACATGGTGGACCAGGACCAGGCGGGACACCTGCCGCAACTCAGCCAGTCACGTTACGAGCGCATGCACGAACAGTACAACAACTACGAAGATGACGACGACCAATGGCAAAGTGTAAGAAATTGAACACAAGAAAAAAAAAAGCGAAAGCTGTCTAAATGCCATTTCGGTCAGATCTTGCGTAAACTTGTTTGGTATTGCATTCAAGATCATTTTTCTATTCAAATGATAACATTTGTCAAAAATGTTTCCCCCCAAAAGTAAAAATGCGCCCATTAAATGTTTTTTCCCTCTTAATATTTTTTTTTCGTCATGTAAGGATCAGCCTAATTCTTTTTAGAACATTTTACACATTGAACACATTTCTTTGTCTTTTTGCTCCACAATTTTTCCAAATCTATTTAAAATTTTGGGGAAAATTATCTGCCAATGCCTTTTGGATTGGATTTTGATTGACTTGATTTGATATGACAGTTTTTATTTATTTTTGGTGAATAAAGGGTACGATAAAAATATTTCTGTTTTTAAAACTCACCCGTTATTTGATTGCCATGTTTTGGGTGTGTATTTTTCCTCACAAAAATTAGAATGGAAACTGGAAAAATATCAGGCAAATACCAGCAAGATCAGATCTTGATTAATGCCATTTGAAAATGCCGCTTGTTGACCTGCAGTCAACATCATTTATAAACAAAAGGATTTGATCAAGTATATGGACTTTTTTTCTTTTTTTTTTTAATACCCCATGCCTGAAAAATTCCTGAAAGATATATCACCCAAAAATAACAAAACAGTGTACACAATTAAACACACAGCAAGGAAACTCTTGCGATGCCATAATCAGATTTTTCTTTGTCATATTTGGACAATGCAATGCTACTCCAGGACTTGGCCCGTTGGAAGAACCGCCGCCGCTGCGCCTCACAGGAGCTGATCAAGAAGGAAGAGGAGAGGAAAAGGATGGAGAGGATGAAAGGGGATGGAGGTGACAAGAGGAAGAATATCAAAACCTACAAGGAGATTGTGGAGGAAAAGTAAGCATCGCACGGGAGGGGAAATTGAACTTCAGACTTTGCTGCAGTGGTGTCCTCTTGGATCAAAGTAAAGGAATAACTGGAAACTGAGGATACACAACTAGAAATGGCTAAAATAAACACACGTTAACGTTAAAGTTGCCGCTGTGCAATATTTGACTCCACAGTCTCCAATTTGCTGCTGTGAGGCTCTCAGACTCCTCTTGGATAAAGTTAACAAGTCAACTGAGGTCTCTCTCAAAAAAAGAAAATTTAAACACACACTTAGATTAGCCGAGTTTGTGGCTGTGCAAGATGATACTGCACAGTCTCCATTTTACCGCTGCAGTGCCCCCAGTCTCCTCTTAGTAAAAACGAAAGTACTTCAGACCGCTACACTCGGATTTAAATATTTCTACGACAAAGAGTGTCACAAAAGAGAGAAAATATGACTGAGATTTTTTACATTTTGAAGTAGAAGCGATGATGTAATGTACGTAAGAACACGCACGCACACACACTACTAATTTCTACTACTAGTACTACGACTGAATTGTGCACATATACAGTAGTGTGTAAAGTCATCAAATGTAAATATTTGATTGTTTGTTTTTACATTGTCATAAAACAAAATATTCTGAGCCTTGAAATATCAGTCAGAATGCTCAAATTGGAAGAGTTAAAAAAAATAATAAAATAATTTTTTTTCTCCTGTATTTACTTATTTAAGGAGACGCACTTTCTCCTCCAACAGAATATCTCCTTCCCAGCGATGCGTTCAATGCCGTCTGTCTTTTGCAGCTGGAAAAGCTTCATCAATGTTGAAATTGGCACAATTCTCAGTGGCTGTAAAACAAAGCAGACTGAAACCGTGACCGCTTTAGCGGCTGCGATAAATATCCCCTCAAAAAATGTGGACTTGGCTTCTTGAAAATATCAATCCTTGTGTTCCCAGGGAACGGCGAGAGGCAGAGCTGTGCGAGGCGTACCGCAGCGCGTCGACACCGGAGGAGGCGGCCACGGTTCTGCAACGCTACGCTCTTCGTTTCACCATCAGCGACGCCACGTTGGATTTCTTAAAGCTGCCTCGCTCCACCGCAAACCCCGACCTGGCCCTAAACCAGGCCCAGCACGAACACAAAACCGTTTGTGAAGACTCCGAGCCACAATCAACACAGCAGAACACGTGTGACGACTTACACAGGGGGCTAGAAAAGTAGGGAGACAGGTTTTATTTACTATGCAAAAAAAATGTCTTCATTAAGTCACAATTAGAATAATTGCTCACAAGTGTCTAACCTCACAATTTTCACTCGTCATCGTCCCCAGAGATCCGCTGACCTCAGAAAGCACACCTCCTCTATCCCAAGAAACCCGCGAACCTCCGGCCCGAGCGTCTCCTAGCGAACCAGAACCAGCAACCAAAGTGGACGCAGAACCCCAACCTAAACCTGCCAAACCGAAACCCTCTCCGCCTCACCCCACAAAGCCCGCGCTCACGCTTCCCTCGCCGCCACCGCCCACCACGACTTCCAGACCCGTCCCCCTGCTGGCGGCTAAGCCCTATCGTCAGCCACGCAGCGCACATGGAGTCAAGGTCAGGAAAGGAAAGGCGTTACTGAATTGAAAATATGTGACCCTGATATTATTAGGATTGTTATTATTATAAATTACATCCTGGGAAAGCTCCGCTACTCTAAGATAAGACAAAATCAGTCCCCCCTTTTTATTTCGTTTTTTTTTTTTTTTTTTTTTTTTTTTCAAATAAAAGTTAACCCTTTCAGGGACAGCGGTAACTACAGTGGACAGCTAATCATGTTATCAGGTTGCAGGCTGCATGAAAGGGTTAAATAAATGTAAAGCATAAATCCAACTTAACACTGAATGAGTAAATTAATAGTCAAGGCAAGTTGATTTGAAGTTAGTTTTTCAGTACTCAGGCATCACGAATAATTTTCTGATCATGGACTGAATAGATAAAATCATCCAAGTCCTAATTTGGAAACAAGATCGTGAAACAATTACACAATGAAATCCTGATTTGTTATCAAACTTGTTGAAGCAACCCCTGTTGTAAATAAAACAAAACAATAAATAAATACCTACATGAATAAAGACATCACATTTTGATGAATAAAAACCTCAAAACTGAACACATAAATAAATCCTGCTTTGCGTGTGTGTGTGTGTGTGTGTGTGTGTGTGTGTGTGTGTGTGTGTGTGTGTGTGTGTGTGTGTGCGTGCGTGCGTGCGTGTGTCACATGCAGATGGACGGCCTTGTGCGTGTGAATGGTGACACGGACACTTCGCCGCTGCATTCGCCGAAAGACAAGAACATCCTGGTCACACAAGCGGAGGAGCAGGAGGAGGACGAGGCCCCCTTTACGCTTGAGATGAGGGGCAGGTCGCCTCCTCCCCAGGCGGCAACATCCTCCTCGTCTTCAGCATCCTTCTCATCTTCGTCCTCTTCCACCATCAGCTCGCTGTTCAGCGGGAGGAACTGCATCACCAAGACCACCATCGTCACGGAACTCACTCAGACGCTGGTGGAGCCACACGGAGTGGACATCGACGGCCACGGCCAGGTTACGATACCCAATCAGGTAACGATCTCCCGTCTATCTCCTTTCATCTTGTCCGTCCATAAAAACGGATGCAAAAAACAACATTGACAAATGTCATTTTTTGTAAATACGCCGCCAGCTTGCGCGCATCTGCGGAATTACCAACACCCGGTCTAATTTGCCCCTGTGCACCGGACTTGAGTTGGTCACAAAAATCGAACCCAGAATGTTCACATCTGTTTGTCCATGCACAGAACTATTCCAGCCCAACTGAGATGGATTTTTTTTTTTTTTTTAGGCCGATACTGATTCCAATATTTGTCAGACTAAAATTCCGATATCTGATGAATCGGTCAATTAATTTGTGTAAATGTAAAAAAATACAATCATTTCTTTTTGGTCCACTAATGCTTAAAACAACAAAATTATGAAATAATGGCAGAACATTTGACTGTTATTCAATATTGAATATTTTATCCTTTAGTATTTGTTGAACTTTACCACATCGAAAAATTGGCCAAAATTGGCAGATTTTTTTAATTTGTTTATTTATTTATTTTTTTACCATTTTTTTGAGGGAGTGTTTGTTGTAATGTCATTATCGTTGTTTTAGGTTGTAATGTGGTAATGTGTTAAAAAAAATAGAAACAGCCAAATCAAGCAAAAAAAAAAAAAAATTTTTGATCATTTTTGCTAAATGCTAAGAGTGGCCTATAAAATCATCTTCCGATTAATCGGTTGAGCCCTGATAAATCTATCTCTAACGATAATAATGATGATATACTGTCATGCCTTTCCATTCATTTCAGTGCATGTCCGCTCACATACCTACTGCATATAAAATAAACATTTGACTTTCAGGTGGATGAAATTGCGACTGCTGAGAAACCAGCAGAGGAAAAACAGTCCCAGTCATCATCGTCATCGACTTCAGTAACCAGCATCCAAGACCATTGTCCCAGTGTCGCCGGTACGACGCCATCTTGTGAAACATTACGAGGGATTTTAAGCGTATTTGCCGGTCTAAAATGTTGACTTGAAATGACGTCACAGGGCCTCAAGGCACAGCATGCGAATGTCACATGACCAAACGCGCGCAAGTGTCCTGAGGCACTGTGATGTCATTTTTGGTCGACAGCAAGTGGGAGTAAAAAGGCAAAATGGCCGCCTCCCCCCGAAATAGAATAGTCGTCATATTCCACCAACGTAATACTATTCAGAATTCCACGTTTAGACTAGTGGTGGCGCATTTAATGTCGGGTTTACCTTTTCACATTCATTTCGTACCCAGATTGAAAGGTCACGCATGTGTTTTTTTGTTTTTTTTTTCACGACCACAGGTGGCCAAGAGGAGAGCAGTGTGAGCGTGAGTACACTCATCAACTTTGAGCTTCTCCTTCATCCCTCTCCTGGACCTCATGTTTACCCCTTGTCTCCACTTGTCCTCTGACCTTTCCTCTCTTTCTGTCCTTTTGCTGTCTCGACGTGTGTGTGTGTGTGTGTGTGTGTGTGTGTGTGTGTGTGTTTAAGCGTATTTGCCGGTCTAAAATGTTGACTTGAAATGACGTCACAGGGCCTCAAGGCACAGCATGCGAATGTCACATGACCAAACGCGCGCAAGTGTCCTGAGGCACTGTGATGTCATTTTTGGTCGACAGCAAGTGGGAGTAAAAAGGCAAAATGGCCGCCTCCCCCCGAAATAGAATAGTCGTCATATTCCACCAACGTAATACTATTCAGAATTCCACGTTTAGACTAGTGGTGGCGCATTTAATGTCGGGTTTACCTTTTCACATTCATTTCGTACCCAGATTGAAAGGTCACGCATGTGTTTTTTTGTTTTTTTTTTCACGACCACAGGTGGCCAAGAGGAGAGCAGTGTGAGCGTGAGTACACTCATCAACTTTGAGCTTCTCCTTCATCCCTCTCCTGGACCTCATGTTTACCCCTTGTCTCCACTTGTCCTCTGACCTTTCCTCTCTTTCTGTCCTTTTGCTGTCTCGACGTGTGTGTGTGTGTGTGTGTGTGTGTGTGTGTGTGTGTGTGTGTGTGTGTGTGTGTGTGTGTGTGTGTGTGTGTGTGTGTGTGTGGGTGGGTGTTTGTATGTGTGTGTGATTGTGGGCTGGGGGTAGATTGAGACCCCCATGTTGAACTTGGCTAAGCGTGTTAATCACTGGGTCTGGGACCCCAATGAGGAGCGTAAGCGCGTGGAAAGGTGGCAACAGGAGCAGGAGCGCCTCCTACAGGTGTGTGTGTGTGTGTGTGTGTGTGTTTTGGGGTGGTTGCCGCGGTTACTATAGGCAAATTGTTTACTAATCCGAGATTGCCTGACACTCATGGGGCACTTTATTGGGAACACCTATCCATCCATTTTCTGTAGCGCTTGTCAAAATGTTAATGTAAAAAAAATAAAAATGATGGTAGGAATTTACCTTCTTGGAAGTACAGTAGTTTGTTACGTTTAATTAACCAATTTTAATCCATACGTAAATGTGACTTTTTGAGTTGTACTCGTGAAATGAATGACCTTTTCGAGCCTATTCTCATTTGTTGTCCTTGCGCTTGCATGAAATGATCTCATGACTTTGTTTGGCATTCTTGTGTGGTGACTTGGACATTGTGCTCCTTGAAGGAGCAGTACCACAAGGAGCAGGAGAAGCTGAAGAAGGAGTGGGAAAAGGCTCAACTGGAGGTCCAGGAGGAGGAACGCAAGCACAACGAAGAGGTACGCCCGGATGGAGGACATCGCCCGCCTACTTGAGGCTCCTCCTACGAGTTCGCTGAATTGTCCATGTCGTAGAACGTGATTTGTCCTCTCGAGTCGAAAACAAATCAACACATTCATACGACGACTGGGGCAAGTGTTGACATTTTATGCTCTACTTGTGAAGTGCTAGATGTTTATAATGTCACTCGCACGACTAGTAGCATGCATCTGTGGACTCGTGCACCGTTTTGCATCACCGGTAGCACGTGCTCACTTTACTAGGCCGCAGAAATGTCAGAAATGGTGATTGTGCTCATGTGCTGAAATGTTTTAGAAAGTGAGTTCAAAGAGTGCACCCAGTACGTGAATAACTCAGTGCGCTAGTCGACTATTGAATCAACGCTTCAACCTGATTCCGTACTTACTATTTTGCTTTCATTGACTCCTTCAGGAGAGGAAGATCTTGGAGGAGACTGTGGCGCCCCTCAAGCCCTGCGTGACGCCCGTGTTGCCACCTGCTGCAGACAAAAAAAACGTCAGCCAACTTGTACCCCTGCAGCAAAATGGCCACAAGGACGCCCGAGGGAGTGAAGAGCAGCATGCGTCCAAGGTGCACTTTTTACAGGGTGAGACCAGCTACACCGGTGGTCGGGGCCGAAATGGGACTCATTTTCAGCCCTGCGTTTTCATGGTCCAGACCGGCCCACTAAACAATAAAACACTTCCCTTGAAACCCATATTCTTTCGTTCGGAATAATTATCACACTCCCGCCTCCCCCAAAAATAAAAAATGGCCCAAAAAAAGCAGATTGAGCTAAACAAGTGTGACGGCTCAACATGTTCCATTGTAATTTTTGGTATGTGCATTTTTTATTTTTTTTAGACACCGTCTCCGATACCGAGCCAGCCAAGAAGTCTGAATTGTGGAAGACGGCCTCTCTGGATCGAAACTCTCAGCCAAACCCATCGCATGGTGTCAAAAGGTGTCTTTAAACCGTTTGGAAATATTTACGTCAAACATTGAAACTGATTTCAAGAGCTGAGAGCTACAGTGGGCTGACTCAATTTTTGTCATTTTGTAGTCAAGTACAGTAATGAATAGAGAAAAGCCAATTGTTTCAGATGAATATTGGTGAAAATCACGGGCCTAGTTCCAATTTTGACATAGAGTGTTAACTTGAGAATTCATTCCGTAACTCAAAACAAAAAAATTCTGATTGAAATGGATTGAAATGCCAATGAGGTTTTCCAGCCTTCCCTCTAAAAAAAAAAAAAAAAAGTAAAATAGTGATACTATGGATCTTAATCAGAAAAAAAATGGAATTCCTAAAAACATCTCAACTCCTGTTTGAACTCATCAGTATGGCACCAATATTAGTCATTCTACACAGAGGATAAAGATGATACAACTGTGAGTGCCATTGTATTGTCTGCCTTCATGTTGTTGTTGAGCCATTTGCGTTCAATCCATTGCATGAATCAATCCAATCCAATCCAATGAAGGGTTAAAGCGCAGTAACATAGATGCTAATTAGCATTAGCTCTCTTGAGGCAGTTATTTGGCTTGGCATAAAATGGATAGATTCGATGTGTGTTTGGATTCAGACGACGATTGTGCTAAAATTTGAACTCTCTTGAAAGTGAAAATGACAAAATTACAGTTAGCACACTCCCGGTTGTCAGTGATTCATATTTGTATCGGGACAATAGGTGCGATTCTCACGATGGCATCGCCGGAACACAGCAGCCGCCGTCTTCACCCTTGCCGCCGTCGCCCAGCAGGTCAGAAAACAAACGGTTGTACAAAACATGACACATTACGGCGGGCCGAGAGAATAAACAGTTTCACCTCATAGAAAGCGGAATTGAGAAAGAGTTGGAACTTGTTCCCTAAATGTTTCTGTGAATGTGGCGCATACTGCAGGTGCGTTAGCGGGAAGAGGCAATGTTCCGGTTGCTCTCAGCCCCTGGGGAAAGGAGCGGCCATGATCATCGAAACACTCGGACTCTTCTTTCACATGCAGTGTTTCAAGGTGAGAAAAACTGTGTGCAGAACCATAGTTTCATGACATTTACTGTTTGTGTGAAAATTTGTGTTCAGTGTGGCTTGTGTGAGGGGGAGCTGGGCGACGCCGCCATCGGGACAGACGTGAGAATCCGTAATGGTCTGCTGAGCTGTCACCACTGCTACTTAGCATCAAGAGGTGAGAATTGTATTTACATAACTCCGCCATTACATGGAGGCAGCGGACTTCACACCATTTGCCCCACCGTTGCCGTATGGTAGAAATCAAAGTGTTTTGAAAGTGTTGAAATCAACACATCATACTGTTTTGTTTTTTTTCTTTGAAACGAGGTCAGAGAATGGTGAACGTGACTGCATAGTTCATAAAGGATCTGATTATGTATTTATTTATTTTGCAGGCCGAGGACAGCCAACAACCCTATGATGATCTGAACCCGACCCCTGACAACCAACCCTCATCTAACTTTCCTCAAATAGACCCCACATGATCTAAACACACTGCACATCCACTATGTGTTTGTCAGCATGACCAGCATGTTTATGACAAGACACAATACAGCAACTGGTATAATAATAATACAGTGAACCCCAGTTTAACGCACCTGCAGTATGCACCACAATCACAGAAATATGTACAAATCTGCAATATAGCGAGACCATGAAAGGTTTTACGCCTCACCTGGTTCAGCTTTATTAAAGGGGAATTATCAAGAGGCAGGACACACCACACGCCCTGCTGCAATATGATTGGCTGCTACATGGAGGCATACTGTACTGTCTTATACTGCCCCCACGTGGCCAAGGTGGGCAGTCCAGAAGCAGCGTTCAAGTGTTGCAACGTGACAAAAAAATAATTCAGTTTGGATTATTTTATGTAACTGTTCTGGTTTTATCAGGTACAGTAGGACGGATCGCCATTTTGCCTCATAAAAATGTGGCAAATTCTTGGGCGTGGGGGGGGAGCTGTAATGGACTACATTCTGTAAAAATTTACGATATAGCTATATAACGGGGGTTCACTGTACTTCAACTGGAATCAAGATTCAGGAGACACTACAAGACTATAACACGACTTTTTTTACATAGGTAGCGTGACCATTTGAATGCCTTACCTTCTCCTCCCTCTTTGTTTTTCCACTTTTGCATGAACAGTGGTTATTGCAAGTATGAGTTTGACATGCAGTTCTCCGACATTTCAGTTTGTTTTACGTCTTTGTCCACTTGCATGTTGGCTTGGAACTCTTTTCCCTTGAACCGTATCAACCAGTGCCTTAATTCAGAGTGTGTGTACTGTTACCGTACACATGGACCTGGAAATGTATGTGTGTGTGTTGTGACATGAAGTGAAATTCCATGCCAGCAAGTAAAACGAGTGGATCATTCTCTTGCACATCCTGTTCACTGTTATAGTGATCAAACCAATGACACGTACATAATACCTGCTGCTTCCCTATACCATTTTTATCGTTATTTCATAACATCCTGACATTCGGGCTTCAACGCAGGTGTTGCCGCTACTTCTCGTTTCTTCTGGTCGAAGAAAACTGCTCGCCGTCTTTTATAGCCACTGTATGTTTGTCAATAAAACTGTCTAAAATGGCTGGCAATGTTTGTTTGTTTTTTTTTTTTACTCTTGCGCTTTGTGTGCGGCTGTGGTTGTTTTCTAAATAACATAATTGCTCTCGAAATAAACATTGAGAAGGGGGGAGAATATACACAAAAGAATTAAATATAAATAATGATGTAATTTATTTTTAAATCAGTGTTAATAATTTAGTTCTTTATTAATAAAACGTCTAGAAAAAATATAGAATTAGAGATATAATATACTGTATACACAAATTTACAACAACAAAAGTTAATCTGTCCGATAAAAACAAAACAATTCCTCCCAGCCAATCAGTAGTAAGAAATGCAAAAGTGGTGAATTTGGAATTTCAATGACTTAAAATAATCGTCTAATGTATTTTTTGCTAAATTAATAAATTTTGTTAGCACATTCTTTACAAATTATGATCGAGTATTTAAACGTATAATTAGACATATATGATTGTTCTATATCAGTTACAAGTAAAAACGATTTTGGCGTGCTTTAGGAAGGTAAAAATAGCGGAAGTGTTACGACGCAATTTTCTCACGTGACAGACAAGACCGCGGCATTGTGGTTGGTATTGAGTTTGCAGTCTGTTTGAAAGTCAATGTGGGCACGTTAACAGTCAACCGACCTGTCGCGAATAATGTATGTATCTAGTGGCTAAATCCGTTCGTTACTGACGAAGCTAGTATTAACGTGAGCATTTGGAATCACATGGTTCAAAATCAGGCTTTAAGGATATGTACGGGAGCATTTTCAAAAACTTCAATTGCAGCATTAGAGGTATCATTGATGTGTGCCATTGGCCATTCGTAGGGGAACAGATGGCAATTAGTTATTGGGCACTGTTGGGGAAAAGGAAAAGAAAGAAATTAGGAGCTTCGAATGGAGATTAAATGAAGATGCCAAGGACATGGATTTACAATGGTTTAGTATAAATCGAACCGTACCCCTTTCAATAATACCGCCATGGATACTTCCAGAGGTAGGAGTAGATTTAACGGTCTTAAAGTGGAGAGTGGGAACTAGAGAGAGGTCTTGTAATTTGGAAAGACTAGAAAGTTACATTTCAAGCAATACTAAATATTTAAAAATGTATACGGATGCAGACCGGAAATAGCAATAGAAATTCAACGAATGTATATAATACAAATGTTGGAGTTGATGGTTGCTTTGCTTTGGGTGGCAGCTCATGTTGGTATCACAAAATATGATAAGAGAAGACAAATGATAAATCTGTTTGAGAAAAGGAATTTGAAATTCGATGTAATGCAAATATAGAAATATAGCGAAAGCTGATGACGTATTTACAAGTATTTAAAGGCTACTGGTGTGGTTGGAAGAATATAAAAATCTAAAGAGGGTTTTTGTGTGTTATGTTTTCGGGGTAACGGGTTTTCGGCAAACCCGGTTGACACTCCTTGCCAGTAGGTAGCGGTAATCTATTTACGTTTCTTGTCATCCGCCGTAAAACACCATAAGAAGAAGAAAATCTCACGCGCACTTGCGTCATTTTTTTTTTCATGCCTTGTTGGTCATGTGATTGTGACGTTATTGTACGGTAGCCAGTAGGCACCAAAGTAGCACCGTGTATTTGTTGCACCTTCATCTTTCGTCTTCGCCACCTGCTAAGACTTTGTGATGTGTCGTTCCTTCTTCGAAAAAAGCCACATTTTAATCCTAAATGGAATCCGAGGGAGCCTTTTATGCTGTACGTTGTCGGTATTTTCTAGACTTGTTCGTCTCTTTGCTCGTCGTGGCGTATTGTTGGGTATTAGCCAAAGAAGCTAACCTGCTTTGTATTATTTCATGTCAACAAACTGCTTCGCTGAAAAATACTCCTTTTATGTTAGTTGGAGTCCGTATGTCCTCACAATAAGTAAAACCGACACTTCACATTTGGACTTATTTACATTTTATGTGCCAAAAAAACTGCCTCTGAAACAGTTATAAACACTCACTGTCACTGAAGTTTTAACAGTCTGTTAAATTTAATTAACTTTATCATAGAACCAAATAATATACGTGTCTTATTTAGCTACTCAGAAGAGACACAAAAAAAGTTGTACACATTTATCTATACGCTTTTACAAACCCACGGCACAGCAACGTCCCTGTCGCCCTCGGATGGGGTAGTAACAGGACTGTAAATTGGATTTAGATGTCGACACAATTTTGTAGCGTAATATTGTGTAATATGAAATTCAGTGTTGTACTTGAAGTGAAGTCATTCTTTTGTCGCGTCTGTAGCAGGCAGGGTCTTCGGTGGACATGACCCGCAGCGAGGAGGATTCTCTGGTGGACGGGCCGCTCATCTCAGATGATGTCCTCCACGCCGCCATCAGGACAGAGTTCCACACGGTGCCCACCGGCTGCTACGCCGTTCTGCTGTCTCTGCTACACGTATGGACAAAAACACGCACACATTCATAAGTCAAAATTTCCCTGTCGCATTTCTACAAAATAGTCCTACACAAGTGCCAGATTGTGGCAGTGAACATCACTAAAAAGCAGAAGTTTGGCAGCCAGTCAACAAGTTGAACTGTCAAACATATATAAAAAAAAGTCCATTAATTTAATGCTAACACACAGTGGGGAAGGGCGGCTCTGTGGTCCAGTTGTTAACCCGTCGACCTCACAGTGCAGAGGTCATGGGTTCAATCTTGGCAAATAGCCACTCAATGCAAATAGCCTCTCAGTGCCAACTGAGTTTCATTGGGTTCCATTTTAGTTTTTACATTTTATGTAAATCATGTTATCACTGTATGTTTCAGTACAATACTTTCAAGTGCTATTTTTCTATTCTTAAAACAAGTCAAAATAATCTTTTTGGGTTTTTTTGGGGTGGGGGGGTTGGGGGTGGTCAGGCTAGACAGCTCTACAGCCTTTCAGATCATCTCGCCTGCTTCTTCCAGGTGGTGTACATGATTTCCTCCTTGTGCGTGGTCGTTCTCTGCGTGTTGAAGCTTGGCCAGAAGGAGTTGTGCACCCACGTCCTGGATCCCAAGTGGGGTGACAGTGCGGTGGTCTTCTGCAAAGTGGTCCTGTGGGTGCTGGTTCAGGCGTTCACCCTCTGCGCCAACTACTACCACAGGCAGGCCCGCAACAGAGGCTACTTGCTGTTCTACAGAAGCACCAACAGGCTCAAGCGGCTGCCTCTCATCGTGTACTCCACAGGTAGACGATTGCAATGTCACATGGTGGAAGCTAGGGGGCAGTCATGATGCGCTAAGCATGGTCATGCGTGCACGCAGGGAACGTTGTTGTATTGATCATCATGGCAGCACGACTGCCAGTTGCTGTGTACACCTACGTGCTGATCGGTGTCTTGGCCCTGGAGCTACTCGTGGCATTGCCCTGTCTCATCTATTACGCAGGTAAACATTTTTTGTGTGGAAGAGACATCTTTCACGTGGCCAGAAAAGAAAACAAAAAGTCTCTGTTTGTGATCAAAACAACCACATTTTGGAGGTACAGTGGAGTCCACCATGTTAAATCACAACTGGTGAAACGGCACGAACAATTGATGATTATAATTGCCATGAAATGTTTTTATTTTATTTCAAAGACAAAATGTGCAAAATGCAAAAAAAAAAGTGGGCCAAAAAAAGAATACTGCAAATAAGTATGTTGTTCCCCCAAAAGCTGTAATTAGATTCACATTGCACACACACAATTTAGTGGGGGGGGGGGCACTCTATTTGATGTATTAAAAAAAAAACACTAAATTTAGAGAGATGTGGTTTTTGCAATACCCTCCCACCCCCACCCCCTAAAAAAACTCAGACTTTGGCAATAGATTTTTTTGAATGCTTTTTGTTGTTTAAAAAAAAAAACTCAAGATAGGTGTGAGAGAGAGAGAGAGAGAGATTTTTTTTGTGTGTGACACATAAAACCCTTAAATGTTGGAGATAGAGTGAACCCCCTTGCAGAGTTACAATGCAGCATTCTTGAATTTATCGATTCCTGTATTTTTGGAGAAAACCTTCTGTTAGCAATGAAACATTTGTTTGTTGCTGTTATTATTATTATTATCATGACAACACAGCCACCTTTGTGGCTTAAAAATAGATTTTTGACGGAATTTCATAAGCAGCACTTGGAGAAAGACACACCCTGTTAGATTTCATTGCTGACCAACACACTCGCCACCCCCCACACAATGCGAGAGGGCATTGGCATGACAATAGCCGCCCTGCCCTTTTCAAACCCGACAGCATGACAATCAAGCATTCTGCTCCGTCTTCCGTCCCTCCCTCCATCCCGCAACTGATCTGCTGACTTTTTTTTTTTAAACTTTGGATCTCTCTCGCTCTCTCTCACACACACACAATTCAATGTATGAGGTGCCTTTAGTCATCCGTCCCATCCATTGTCCCATGCACTTCCTCGGCAAGACCAGGAAGACTATGGCCACATGGAAATCGTTACTTTTTGCAAAGACAAAATGTCATTTTCAACCGCAGTTACTCATTCGTCATGATTTCTTTAAAATAAACAATGAAATGTGTCATTTTCAGAGGAAATGGGAAATAACGACACGTTGCCAATGAAATGTTCTTTTTTTTAGCGTGTGTGGGTGAAGGAAGACCGCAGTTACAGAGTGTCTGATAGGATATTGATCAGGTAGATAGTTGTATTGAAAGGAAATCCATATTAAAGGGCTGTTTAGGCTGCCAAGGGGCACAGATGGGCAGATACCCCCCCACACCCACACACACACACACACACACACACATACACTCAAATGCAGTTGAAGATAAGGTATTAGTGTTTAGCCTAGCCACAGGCTGGCTAGCCCTTGGCCGCCCCGCCCGCCGGCGCACACACACATGCGCACACACATATACACACACACACACACACACACACACACACACACACACACGCACATTGTCCCAGTGTTTACAGTGTTTGTGGAGGTCAGTCTGTGCCACATTCCAGCTTGGATCAGTGTAGTGAACTGCAACAGAGAGCCGAGCGCAAAAAAAACCCACCCAAAACATTTATTTATTCATTCATTCATTCATTCGGGTTTGGAACAGATTGATGGAATTTCCAGTCATTTCAATGAGGAAAAGCGATTTGAGATTCAAGATTTTTTGTTAGTCACAATCATGGTCATTCAGCACACTGACCTTGTAGGTGAAGGCACCACCATATCTCTGCTCCAACCGCTTTTCACTGATCCGTAAACTGATTCCTTCATTCTTTGAATGCCTTTCAGTGACTCTTCGAGTAGGAGCCCCCAAAAGGCATGGAAATTGAGATTTCGAGCAATTTTCACTTGAGGATTTTTGCCGTTCAGCTCCTTGTGAGAGAACAGCAAATTGGGCAAAAAGTTCTGAAACACTGAACAGGCGGACAAGTTTGGAAAAGGTCAATTCAGTTCACCTTAATTTAAAGGTTGTATTGCCTTCCAGGGTGGTCGGTAAATTTCAGTATCCCTGACATTTATGTGAATAACGCATACGGAAACTCACGGACAGTGAAGGTGACAGATATGATAAGTTCATTGGGGGCGGGGTAGTTCTCTTAAGGACCCAAAGGTAGTGAGAGCCTGCAGCCATGAAGTCCATACAGGAAGGCCTCGTTCTACTTCTCTTTGAAGTGCGTGCTCGATTGTGAGTAGGAGTGTTTGTGTGAGTTTGTGTGTGTGTGTGTGTGTGTGTGTGTGTGTGTGTGTGTGTGTGTTTGAGGTCTCTGCTGTATGTTTCTGGCCTCTCATTTGAACATGAATGCGCCCCACGTGCTCCACGCACATCAAAGTCGCTCCTCAGCCTTCAAAGGCTCGCCCGCTCATGCGGCAAAAAAAAAGCACTACAGGGCACTCGGAGGCTATACCATGCAACACCCACACACAAGTACCTCGGCATGTCCGTTGGAGGCTAGCCTAAGTTAGACTAATGTAGTGGTCTACATCATCATCATCGCTCCTTCTTGACAAATGTCGCACAATTGTGAGCGTGACCGGCTATAGTTTGAATTTGTCTGTTTGGGGTCGTTTGCCAAGAAGACAACATCGAGCGAAGCTGTAAACCGCTACGCTAGCCGGCTCGAATGCTAGCGGCTAACGTAGCAGTCTACGTCTTTGCTCGTCGGTCCTTCTTGTCAAACAGGACAGAATAATTAAAAGCAAAAGGCAGTGGAACTTAGCACGCCGTGGGAAAGCGGTGCGCGTCTGCTTTAATTTGAGTGTATTTGCGTCCAAATTTGGTGAGTGGAGTAAGAATGCGCTGCCCGCTTTTTAAGGGACTTTTAAGTGTGTGTAAGTGTCATAATTAGTAAAGCGACAGTAATGTAACAAATAAGAGCAAAATGTGTTTTTGTTACGACGTTCCTCAATCGTCAAAAGTGTTTGGCACATGCATTGTTGTCTTGTGGCCCTAAAATGGCTCCTTTCAACCAAAGTAGCAGATTTACTGTCCCTCTCAATACTGTCGTTTTTGTGGGGCTCTCCCGCCAAATATCTTGTTGCTCAGTCAAATCGTCTTCAGTGGGCTGAATTATTATTATTATTATTATTTTATTTTATTATTTTTTTAAATTCATGAATGCGTAATGGAGCCAAAGTGGCCATTTTCAACCACAATGGCAGCTTCCTGTCTCTTTCCAGTGTTCTTGAGACTTTTTTTTCCCCCTGTATGGATAGATGGATCTACCAAGTTACATTTAAGGGACTGAATTCTTTTTCAACTTCGGGTTCCTGGGACATTTCTGTTTTGCTTTACTCAAGATGTGAAACTGGTTTAAGGGGCTGAATTAAAAAAAAATAATCTGAAGTCAGCGCAACTTTTCTAATTTACTGTCACCTTCCTTTATAATGCTTCTTGCGTCAGTTAGTCGGATGCCACCACTTGAGGTGACTTTTGCCTCTCGCCTCCTCGTCGGACTTGCCGCACGAGCGATTGCTGCCCGTCAAATCTCTGACCCAGGCATGTTCTGAGCACTGCCCATCTGTCTGTGCGCTCTGGTGAGCGAGCGAGAGAGAGAGAGAGAGAGAGAGAGACTCTGGCAAAGTGGTGCGAAATGTGGCACCTCCTTTCAACTGTTCCTTCTTAATCTTCCATCCATTGCTGGCATCTCCTCTGTTTAACCGTCATCCTTTTTTTTTTTTCCTCAGCATTATGTCGTCCAATGACAAAGCACCGCGGTCGCTATTTCAGCATAGTCCTATTCAGCAGCATTGTAAGCCCACTAGGGGCTAAGAGTCTGCTGTATGGAGCAAAAAGCTACACATGGAACAATAAATTTAGGGGAAGTAGGGAATGAAATACCGGAAATCTGAACTGGACTCAACATGAAGTGATCTGAGAACAGCAGCAAGAATTGTCAGAAGCCTTTAATGTAACAAAAAAAAAAAACTGGGCCAGTCATTGGATGGAAAGGTGCGTGTGAACAAGAGTGAGAATAGTCCGCACCATTGTACAGTACATCATAAAAAAAAAAAAAAAAAAAATCAATCAACACCCAGTGAGAATGAAATGAATCAAACTGTTGTGTTGCGCTCTGTTAAATACTTCTCACATACCACTTGTATTGACACACACACACACACGTGCGTACTTAGGGCCTCATTATGCAGGAATGCTCAGTATTTCTTGGGATTGTGTGTCGACGCTGCAACGGAGCAAAGCAAAGCTTGCGCTCTTTAGAATCTCCTTGACAATTTCCTCGGGCTAATGACGCGCCGGTCTTATCAATACTGGGCCTGCTAGACGAATGACGCTAGCGCCGCCGTGGCCTCAGCCCGTTGGCGCTCATATTTCAAGAGCCCGTCAAGTGAATTCAATTGCGAGATGAGTTTTCAATCAGATTCGACGTGTTTGTAGATAAATGGTTGAGTGTGTCAAAACCGACGATGACGTTTTTTACTACTCAGTTGTGGAGACGCAGTTAACTAGCTGGCTAGCTGACTATGTCTGCGCCCGTAAATGAATCTTCCCTGAATGCCACAGTTTACAGAACAGCTCAGCATCACACCTGCGAACATTCTCATTCATCCAGAGCATCGAATTAATCACAACTGGACCGTTGTGGTCGTCTCGTAGGACGTTTTGACTCTCAGCCGAGCAGGTGTCATCCGTTCATGCAAGGCTACTTAGGACAGAGTTAGCCTAGCGCAAGCTAAGCGCAGTGTATGGATGTAGCAATCGTAATGGAAGGCAAAGCGGTGTGGGTAGCGGCGTGTCAAGTTGACAATTTTTTTCACTTGACAGGGACTTTAAAGATGTGCCGTTCATTGTAAGCCAATAATTGTTTGCTTTTGTGACATACTGCCTAGATATTCCGCCTCCGACCACCCCTAAGCTCCACACCTCGCCGCCGGGCCCATCCCACCCCACTTGAGTAAAGGTGTATGTTTAGGGCGTGAGAATTGGAGCTCTAAGTGCAGGATATGGCGGACCATAAGAGCTAAGTGCGGGTTATAATGGCCCGTGTGTGTGTTTGGAAGTCGGCCAGGGAATGGAAGCCTGTAAAAGAAAAAGAGGTGCTGGGGGGGGGAGCGTTGGCTGTGCACTTTCCCACCTGCCTCGTTATGGCGGCTAAGAAACTCTCACTGTTAGGTTAACGATTTTTACGTGTCCTGTGACTGAATGCAGAAGGCGATATTAGGACTTCGGACTTGCTCGGCTGAAACTTATGAAAAAAAAAAGTTATGATTGTTAGACAAGCTGTTTAATGCCACGCCTAATTGAAGTTAATTGTCAAACTGAACGTAAAACAAAGAGAATTACACCTTTTTGTATTTTTAAAAAAAGCACATTGCTTTGCCTGAGAAAAGTCCACTTTGCTTGATGCTAACACACACTGAGAAATACCATTGACATGCTAACATTAGCATCACGAGTCACACCTTTAGATGTAAGGCTGTTTGAACAAAAAAACGGTAGAGCAACTCATAAACACGCATAGTTTAGCAGTACTTGCCGGCATATATTCTTTATCCTCTCCAAAAAAAAACAACCAACATTACAGCCAATTTAATGTCGTAACGTTTGAGCAGAAGAAGTCTGTTCTTTATTTGTGTCTGCGTGATGTAGAATACTATACTGCCTTCTGGTGGCCAAGGCAGTCACACCAGAAGGAGCAGCACAGTGAGTTGGATTGCATCACGAACCACTCTATGCTAAGACTGAGCAACATTATTTGACTTAACTTTTGACTGGCTCGATTTTTGTCACCTGGGATTTTGCCTCCTCACCTCTTGACAACTGCTTTCCAGTGACCAAAACCTCCTCTGCTTTGACTTCCCCTTAGTCAAAGTGAGGAGCTTCAACACGGAGCGAGCGGTGCCTGACGTCTGCCGGGAAGAATATTTGCGCAGCTTAAGCGGCGGTAGCCTGCCCACGGAGACTGGATTCAGGTAGGGCCACACACACACACACACACACACACACACACACACACACACACACACGCACACACACGCACACACACACACACACACACACACACACACACACACATTATTGACACTGTAAAAGCCGTCTCAGTCATGTTCGTTTACACAGAGGTTAACAGTGCCGCTAAAAATGGTAAAAGCTGCACCCCCCGCTCCCCCGAGCATTTGATTGCGCACAGCAAAGACACCAAAACTTGGTTCTTTTACTGCTTTAGCGGTGTGGTTGCGATGGACGGTCCTAGTTTTAGTGTCAAGTTCCTGACTTGTGTGTGTGTGTGTGTGTGTGTGTGTGTGTGTGTGTGTGTGTGTGTGTGTGTGTGAAAAAAGTGCGTGCGTGCGTGCGTGCGTGCGTGCGTGCGTGCGTGCGTGCGTGCGTGCGTGTGTGTGTGTGTTTCAGAGAGCGTTCCTCGCTGGAGGAGGTGGTGGAGAAACAGGCGGACCTGATCGAGTACCTGAAGCACCACAACAGCTTGCTGAGCAGGAGGCTGCTCAACCTCGCTGCTCAACACTGAACAGCATCGTCGCGGTCGTGCACCCCTGTCAAGCATGCGGGGTCCTCTTCGGTAAGACCGGGGTCAGGTCAGACTTGCGCCTGTCACCTGGAACAGACGGATTGGACGACGTGGTGCTGGTAGTGGTGGTGGTGTGGAGGTGGGGGTGTAGCCGCACTAAAAGTGGCCGGTGTTTAAAGAGCCATCCGGGGTCACGGGTGAGGGG